GGTACAGAAGAGAACTTCCCAAAAGATTGGGAAGGCAAGTTATTACCGACTATCTAAAATGAAAGAAATTTAGCACAACTCTTGAATAACTTGTAGTTTTTTAAGCAGAATGGAACGCTGGCGGGCCCGTTAGAAGTACGTGTTAGGAGAGAAATACACATCTAGACAATTCAGTCATTCAGCAAAATGTTAATAACTGGTGAATCTGGATAAAGAGTATATGGAGTTTTTTGCACTATTATCATAACTTTTCTTTAATTTTGACATTCAGAATTAAAAGTAAAAAAAAAAAATGAAAATGAACCAGCTGGATTTATTTTAAACTTAACGTCAAAACCTAAGTGAAAAGAGAAAGGGAAACAAATCTATACTCTGCCATTATGTTTCTGAGACAGATATAGTACTGACAATTTTACACAGGCTATTTTATAGAATATAAAGAATTAGAGCTTTCAGTCAAAAAGCTAGGTTTGTAGTTCAACTCTACAATTTCGCTGCTCTGTAACTTTATTCTTTTATCTTCCAGAGTTTCAGTGTCCTCCTCTAGAAAATGGAGATGATACAAATAGGATGATTGAAAAGATTAAAATATCACAATATCAAGTACTGTACACTTTGTGTGCATACCACAGTCCTAAGTGATGGGAGACAAAATCTCTATAGGACTTCTAGGTTTCTGTGTGTCTTGTAAACATGGCATAAAATCTTTTCAAAGATGCACGTATAGCAAACAGATCTGTAACACAGAGAGTCCCACTGCAGAGCAAAGGGGAACGTGCCTACTGCCCATTCTCAACGTTTATTTATTTTTGGGACAGAGAGAGACAGAGCATGAACGGGGGAGGGGCAGAGAGAGAGGGAGACACAGAATCGGAAGCAGGCTCCAGGCTCCGGGCCATCAGCCCAGAGCCCGACGCAGGGCTCGAACTCATGGACCGTGAGATCGTGACCTGGCTGAAGTCGGACGCCCAACCGACTGCGCCACCCAGGCGCCCCCCTACTGCCCATTCTAAAAGACTCGGGGCTCCTCTCCTATGTAACACGGCACACTACCTGTGCAGGTATCATCTGACCTTCCTCACATTGCCCTGTGGAAGAAGAGGTGTCTGGGGAACCGATACAAGCAAATGTTGATACTCTGACCACTACTATTGCTGTAATAAAATCCTTTTTTCACCAAGGGATCTCATGTTTTCTGCCACCATCAATGAACTGTGGTAAAATAGGGTAAAATCCCAAACCCTTCACAGTTCTTGACACTATACACCTTCCGTTAACATTTATGTCCGTAGATCTTATCAACAGCCCCATAAAGTTCAGCAAAAACACTGCATGGTACAAGTGAGATATTTCACAAATGGCAGTTATTATTGTCTTCATCATCATTAATCTTTGCAACAATCCTGTAAACTTGGAATCAATACCATCATTTTATAGGTTAATTAACCAGCCAAGAGTAAGTCAGTCACACAAATGGAAGGACTACAATTTTAATCCTTTCCAGTTTTACCATGTTATCTCACAGCTTTGAAATTATGAACTCATTTGGCAAAGCTGCAAACCTTATATTACATCACAAACAGCTACTTACTCTTTAAATATTTATTAAACATGTTCTGTTTTAGGCACTTTGTTGGTGCTAGGGAAATAGTGAATCAAACATGCTGTCTTCATGAAGCTTATAGAGAAAGCATACACCAAAACAAGTAAAACAACTAATTCCCTAAGAATAATTAATTAGCTAATGAAGTAATTATTAGCTCTTGCAAGTGTTATGATGGAAGCAAACAAGGGTCTGAGACAGAGAGCAACTGGAGGACACACTTTTCAAACTATAGGTTGTTGGTTGGGAATCAATCCCAAGCAGGACTTTCTGAAAAATGCAGTATAGAAAAGAATGCACACACTTTATAAGGTAAGTATTGTTTTGTGAAACTCTGATCTTGCACAATAAAATCATTTCCTTTAGGCACAGGGAATAATCTACGCAATGGTAATGGAAAGGCCTTGCTTCGTTAGAAAAACAAACTGTGTGGCTAGAATCCAATAGAAAGGAAGAATAGAGTGGTATGAACTGAGGTTGGAAAGAAAGATGTTATGATTCCGGTAGAGTTTAAGCAACGCAGTTTTAATTAGGTAAGTGATGTGATTTGATTTACATTTGAGAAGTCACTTTTCTTGGTATAAGGAGGATGGATTTGAGGGACAGCAAGTGTGGAAACAGACCTATCAGAATGTTGTTGTAAGTAGCTTGATTTGGGAAGGGAAGGGCAATAGGGATATAAGAGTGGATGGATTCAAGATATTATTTTGAAGGCAGAGTCCAAAGGACTTGCTGAAGTGAGTTCGTAAGAGGCATACTCTAGGGGCGCCTGGGTGGTGCAGTCAGTTAAGCATCCGACTTCAGCCAGGTCACGATCTCGCGGTCCATGAGTTCGAGCCCCGCGTCGGGCTCTGGGCTGATGGCTCAGAGCCTGGAGCCTGTTTCCGATTCTGTGTCTCCCTCTCTCTCTGCCCCTCCCCCCGTTCATGCTCTGTCTCTCTCTGTCCCAAAAATAAATAAACGTTTAAAGAGGCATACTCTAAATTTCAGTCATATGCAAATCTTGTAGTTCCAAGAATATACCATGCTCTCCATGTGTCTCTACACACATGATCTTCTTGGAATTTCCTACCACTCTCCAAGTTCTCACCCTATTGACTTGGTACACTCCTACCCATCCTCCTTTCGGGACTGAGCCCCAACATTACTTTTCCACAAAGCATTCCCAGACATTTGGAAGCTGTCTTCTCCATATTCCCTTAGCACTTCACACATGCTTTTAATACACTGGTTACAGACTACAATTAGCTGTTATACATGTGTTTCACCAAATTAGTCTGGAGCCATGCCAGGGCAGAAATCATATTCTATGCACTTTCAGCCTTGGGAATGATGATAGTGTTTAGAAAAATGTAGATTCATTAATCAAAATTTGCTGAATGAACGTGCCATTTCCTGTAATACATTCCTTCATTCCTAAACTGTCAAAGGACCCTCATTCATAAAGATATGTATTGCACATATTTTTATTTAATCCTTCAGATCATCCTTCAATGACTCCATATTTGAAGAAATATGTATTTGCTTAGTTTATGCTGCCATACGAATCTATGAGATTCTGTTTAATGATCAGATTGTGCTTCTTGCCTTCATAAAAGAACTATCACAGTATATAGTAAAGGGCTGATTTTGAAATTAGATCTCTGTTCAAAAACCAACTCTTCAATTTATTAACTATGTGGACTGGCTATGGGTAGGTTTTTAATCTCTCTGCATCTGTTTGCTCAACTGTATATGGTTAATACTTCTATGTCATAGGGTCATCATGTGGCTTGAATGTGAACACAAATTAGCACAAATACACATTCGATACGTATCAGTTTCTGCTTCTCCAACTTACCTTCTTTACAAGGAAGAATACAGCCTTTGCAAAATTAAACACAAAAGGTTTCTGGTCATGGCACTACTTTGACCACTGAGAAGGGAAATCATCTTACAGCCCCACCCCCCCCACCCGCCCCCAAACACAACTTGGCCACTGAGGTCCAAAACTACCTACCCTGAATATAGGCTACTGTCTACATTAGAATGACTTTATTATTTCTTTGTCTTCATTAGCATAACTTTTTACTATTCTAGGAGACTCTTGCCCAAATAGCTTGATTATTCATTACAGGAACTTCTTGAAAAAAACGATCAATTCTTCAGGAGAAAGCACCAATAGTTTATGCCCTAAGACTCCTTGCACTCCTTTCCTTCTATCAATCTTAAAATTGTTAAATCAGTGTCCAATCCTAATCAAGCATCTATCTCCTCCACTCCTTCACCCTCTGCCACTGAAAGACCAGCCTTAAACCATACTTCAAATTCTCAAGAAAAATCTGATGCTGCTTTCCTTCCCAGGCACTAACAAAAACTCTGCTGAGGTGTTCTTTCTTATCCCAGTCAGTAAGTCATAAACTCAGATTTGTCCTATCAGAAGGATAGGTGGTGTCTGAGAAACCAGCATTGGACAGGGCAGTACATTTACAAGTATGAAGGCAAGGCAAAGGAATTTTCCCACAAAAGTCCAGAAATACTATAAAAATGAACTAAGGGAAATTACGTATCAGGCAAAATACGTCCACTATTACGTCCATTAATAAAAAGGAAATGGATTTGTCAAGACAATAGGAAGTTGCGTTGCAAAATTCCAAAACGGGACGATGAGTTTTAAAAATTATTTTTGATGAAATTTAATGAAGTGTTTTATTCCTTATTACAGAGCTGTTCACATATAGGACTCCGAATCAAAAACAGCATCTCACGTTATCTTTGGAGTTACCAAAAGTAATGCTAGGACAAGCGGCCAAAGTGGCTGCAAGACAAATGATCAGTTTTTAAATTAGATCCTTTCGAATAAAAATTCAGATGCATTATCCATTTCACTAAGTGTAAGCAACACTAATTTCTAAAAGGTCTAATCACGGCCCAGTGACTTTCCACTCGGGTAAAGCATACAAGGCTGTGGGGTAGAATGGAGTGAGGGAAGCAATTTGTGCTTTCCAAGGTTTACTTTTCACCCTGAGAAACCTATTTGGGCTGCATGGCCGACCCTGAACCGGGTTGGCCTCCGCAGCTCGAGCAGTTCCAGAGAGGAAAGAGAAGACGGCAGAAACGGGGTATCCGTGGAATCCACCCTCTCTCTGAGGGATGACCCGCAGCGGTGAAGGGGCTGCGGGGTGGGGGTTCCGCTAGGGCCCTCCTTCTACCAATATTCGGGTCCGTACCTGACGGGCGATGGACCTGCGGAAGCCACACGCCATGGCCACCTCCAAGAAGCACGCCCCAGCTGCCTGGCCCGGATCCTCGCCCCTCCCTTCTCTGCACGCCCCGCCTACGCGCGCCGGAAGCCCGCCCTGGAGGATTCTGCCAGCCAATCAAGAAGCCGCGTGGCCGGCCACTAACCTCTGCCCTGCCGCCGCGAGGGAGCGCGGGAAATCCCGAGTGCTGCTGGAATCCCGCGGGCCGGTGGGACCATGGCCACTTCTTCGGTGTCCAAGGTACGGGGGGGGGCGGCGGACGCCCACTAGACACAGCGGTCGCTGCATTCCCATTTGAAGAAGGCATATAGCAGAGGTTACGTAGGCTTCGATGTACCGGCTGGAGCGGAGGGAGTGGCAGGCTGAGCTGAGGCGTCCCTGCTCCAAGTGCAGTTGAGGTCAACTTTGCTTGGGCAGCGAAAACACCCATCTGCCTTAGTATTGTGGCTGGGAGGATTTTGTAAGCTTTGGTTTGTGGAGGTCGAATTCCCCGAGGATGTGCCCCAGTCTTCTTTACTTTTTTTCTTTCTCAGAAATATTTGTTACGCGCCAAGCACTCCGTTAGGTACCGAGATAGAGTGTAAACAAAATAGACTCAATGCCTTCACTCAGGAAAAATATTAAACACAGATAAACTGATGATAACAAATTGTGATAAGTTAGCAAATTGCCCAGGGTCAGAGAAGGCCTTTTGGAGAAAGTGACATTTTAGCTGAGCCCTGAAAAATAAGTAGAAGTTAGGCAAAGGATTGGGGGCAGGGAGACTTAACAGCAAAGAGAATGACATGTTCTTTGGCCCAGAAGATAGAAATAAAGTGATCTATTTAAGGAATGGAAAAATCAGTATAATCAGGAGGTAGCGTTATGAAAAATGAGAATAAAAAAGTAGTGTAGGTGTGTATGTGTGTCAGAGGAGATCATATAGACCTCGTATGGGCTGCCTCAATGGTCAGGGATTGCAAGAAGACATGATAATGTGGTTGGTAGGAAGATAAACCCTAGAGTTCTGTTGTCTAATGTAATAGCCAGTAGCCACAATAGCCAGTGGCTATTTCAGTTTTAATTAGAATAAAGTAAAATTAAATAAAATTAGAAATACATTTCTTCAGTCTCACTAGCCACATTTCAAGTGTTCAGTAACCACATGTGGTGGTGACTCCCATTTTAGTGCAGAGACATGATATTTCTCCTTCGTTACTCAAAATCCTGTTGTACAGCACTGTTCTATACCCAAGTAAAGTAAGACCTTTAGTAACGAGTTCACCCAGAAGCCCCTTAAGTTAAGCTGTGATAAAGTCGAGAATGTAGGTGAAAACACTGCAAATACATTTCTCCCTATGTTAAAACAGTAGATTAGAAGGCTTTACCATGGGCCTTATTTTTAATTTTGATTAAAATGAAGCTAGAATTATGAGAAGGAGTGCCTTTTGAGACTATATCAAAGGGGAACTTTAAGCCCTTAACTTCAGAGTTTAAGTTTACAGAAGATTGACTGTGATGCCTGGTGCAAATGCCAGTAGAGCTTTAACTGTGCTAGTGTAGTCAGGGTGCTGGAGTGCAAGACCAGCTGGCTCTAGGGGTCTCAAACAGACCACGTTCTGGCACTCGCTGCTGACAAAACCAAGTCAGAGAAACGAGTGGGAGTGAAACAAGGAAATTTATCTCAGTGAAGCCAACAGTGAGAAGACAGACTAGAGTCTCAAAGACTGTGTCCAAAGTGCTAAAAATGCTTCCAGGTTTATATAAGGAAAATGTGGGACAAAGGTCAGTGGGTTCGCACAGGTGGGCAGTAAAGATCAGATTCATAGATGTCTTGGAATCAATCATGGATGGAGTCTTGCTGGCTCAGGCCAGTCCTTACTGCTTAAGGTGTTAGTTTTGGTTCCCATTAAGGGATGTTGTGCCCACAGGATGTTTTGCCGGAGTTAAGAGATGAGCTGGAAAGAAGCACTTAATCAATTAGAATGTTTGAAGTCAAAATGGAGGTATTTGAAGTTCTCTTACACTAGTATTTTTTATTAGGATTGGTACTGTTTTTGTTATGCCCTGGTTATATATTTCCATAGGTTTTGCATGGTTTGCACCCTAATCCTTTACATTGCATAAACCTCTTACTTTTGTATATCTTGCAGAATTGCGAGTTTTTTTTTCTTTTTCAGGAAAGCATTTACTGCATTATTACAGAAATGCTTGTATTGAGATGATTATGAAAGGGACTTTGCATAAATAAGAATCTTAGGGACTATTTTAGGAGCTCGTGTAACTGCTAGCTTTTTTTTTTTTTAAACCTATGTAAACTTCTCTTTCCTTGTTACATTTTCTACCTGTTAGCTCTCCTCCTAGATGACTTGTGTCTCAAATACCATCACTTACTTGTTCAGCAGTTCAAAGCCGTTAACCATATTACTACCGCTGCCATACATTAGGATCCATTCCAGGCACTTGTCATATCTCACTCCTTCATAGTTCTTTTTCTTTTATTGAATTGCAGTTGGATGTAGAAAGGAGGCAATGACAAGGTTGTTGTGGTACTACATGATTTTTATAAATATGTGTATTTCAGTAGTTGCAGATATAAGAGTGTTAAGCACAGTTCTTGGAGCACCTGGGTGCCCCAGTGGGTTAAGTGGTCCGACTTAGGCTCAGGTCATGATCTCATGGTTCGAATCGAACCCCACATCGGTCTATGTGCTGACAGCTCAGAGCCTGGAGCCTGCTTTGGATTCTGTGTCTCCCTCTCTCTTTGCACCTCCCCTGCTCACACTCTGTTTCTCTCAAAAATAAATACACATTAAAAAAAAAATTTTTTTAATAGAATAAAAAAAGGCACTGTTCTTATTTTGGATCCTGTAACCCAAATGGCCACTTTATATTTGCACAGCTCTCTTTAGCACTATCCTGAGAGGATTTTTTCTAGGTGTATTTTTTTAATCTTGTTTTTCATTTTCCATAAAAATGGCAGTCTTTTTTTTCTTAAGTATATTTTGTTTGAGAGAGTGCGAGTATGAGTGGGGGGTGGGCAGGAAGAGAAAGAATTCCAAGCTAGATCCCAGGAACCATGAGATCATGACCTAGTCAAAATCAGGAGCAGAATGCTCAACCAACTAAGCCACTCAGGCGCCACAAAAATGGCAGTCTTCAAGAAGCTCTTACATGGTGCGTGGCTTTAAGATTGGTAGAATAAACGCAGAACCAGTAGCTTGGGGGCTGTATATCACTAGTCAAGGAATAACATGGTACTAAATGTAACTAGGAAATTACAAGGAAAATTACTTGGCCAGCATTCATTCCATATATTGATTGCCTAATGTATATGCTAACACTACCCTAGATACTGAGGAAACAATTAGGAGTTAAATGCAGTCTATGCTCTGAAGGCATTCAGTAAACTACTTGGTGAGACAGAACCATAAATATGATACACAGTGAAAGGGATTTAAAACAAAGCAAAATAAAGGCATTCAAGTATTCTGAGCTCTTAGGGAAAGGAATAATTCTAACTAGAGAACTAGGGAAGTTTTCCCAGACCAGATGAATAAGAGTTTTATCAGATGAAGAAAGATGTATAAGGTGAAACAATAGCCAAAATTATCTATTTCCTGTCAAGGTTATGGATCCTTGAAGTTTAATTAAATAATAAATATTTCTTCTGAAATGAGACAGCGTCACTATTTTTTACCTTAATTTTAATGTATGCTATTAATGTTCTCTAAGTTTTATAAAAATGGAAACTTTTTGGGTTTAAATTTCATCAGCTTTTATTTTGTCTCTTAGATCAGTTTCTAAGAGCAAAATCAAAGATGAGCATCCCATGGGAAGGAAGAGAAAGAAATGGATAGTCCCTTTGTTTTTCAAGAATTTTCCTGTTCTAATTCAGATAGAAGAGAGATGATTTCTTAGTACTTTAAAGAAATACTTTTTTAAAATTCTGCTTATCCACAAAATACTTGGTTAATCAGATTTATCTGCTCCTTGGCTACTTTGACTTTATACTTTTTTTCCTTTTTACTTTTTTTTTAATAGGGTTGTTTTGTGTTTAAGCCAAACTTCAAGAAGAGAAAGATCTCTGTGCCAGTAGGTAAGATGTCTTAATATTGAATTGGCTAGTTTTCCTCCCCTAAGTTTTGAACTAACCTAACCCTAATTGAATTTAGTAGTTTTCTTGTCTTAAGTTTGACTTTACTTACCTTCCTGATGTAGCAGTTATAGTCAAAGGGATAAGGTACCTCCCAGGGTTTCAATCTAAAAGGGACTCCAATAGACCTTCAAAGGCAAATTGGAAAGTAAATTTCCTTCAAAGGATATGTCCCCATTCTTCAAAAGAGATTGTCTTAGGGGAGCCTGGCTGACTCAGACAATAGAGCATGCAACTCTTGATCTCTGAGTAGGGAGTTCAAATCCCACATTGGGCATAGAGCTTACTTTAAAAAAAAAAAGTTACCTATCTATTTATCTATATATAATTATAAAATAAAATAAAAGAGACTAACTCAGATGGATTTAAAAAAAAAAAAGAGAGAGATTGTCTTAAAAATCTCAGTGATTTCCTGGGGTACGTTATGGGAAATTGAATGCAAAAGAGCCAGAAATACTTTTTGGACTGATGGAAATGTTTTCTAGATTGAGGGAGCAGTTATATGAGTGTATACTTTTATTAGGACATACTAGACTGTTAAAATGGGCATGTTTTATTATTGTAAATTATTCCTCAATAAAATTCAGATTAAAAAAATACTATCTTTCTTAATTTATCTCCAGATATCTGTGTGGTGATCATGTTAGGAAGAATTGACTTTTTCAAACAAATCATGATACTAATGTCAGAAAGTGTTTATCGTACTGGTTTTCAATTGGGGCTGCAGATTGGAATCACCCAGGGAACTTAAAAAAAAAAAATTGTTTCAAGGTTTTTTTGGATATAATTGTAGATTCCTGTGCAGTTGCAAGAAAGTATAGAGAATTTCCTTGTGCCCTTTACCCAGTAAATCTCCAGTGGTAACATTTTGGGTAACTGGTAAAATATCATAACCAGGAAACTTAACATTGGTATAATCCATTGACTTTACTTAGATTTCAACTTGGGAAACTTTTTAAAGATACTAATGCCCAGACCCCATCTCAGACCAATTGAATCAGAATCTCTGGGAATGTTACCTAGGTATTGATATATATATATTTTTTAAAGCTCCTCACAGGCTAATTATTTACACTCAGTCTTCAGTACTGTAAAGATTAATTCTGATGGAAAAATTATGTGTAATTAAGCATATTTGTGTACTTGTTTTGAATTAAAAAAGAAAAAACAACTGTACCACTGTTTGACTAAGAAAATAAATAACTTATATTTATTGAAAAGGATTTTTCTAAGTCATCACATGATGCAAACCTTAGGGTGTTAGTTACTCCTTTAGTTTGAGACAAGCTAGGTACTCTTACCTATGCTCAAGGAGCAAATAATAAAATAATCGTCCATATTGAGGGGGACAGAGGGTAGGTATGACTTATAATAAGAACCTAGTTTCTCATTAACAGAATAAACAGTGATCTCAAGTTCTATACCCTCTTAAACTTAGTGTCAAAGGAATATGAAACTGCCGTATTCCTTGTCCCACCCCCAAAATAAAAAGTGACAGTGATAGACTTGGAGATAGTGAACAAACAAAAGCTACAATATAATTTTTTTTCATTCGTAAGTGGTTGACTTAACACATTTCCTTAATATTGGAGATTGCTAAACTCGAAATAGTTCATTTTCAGAGAAAATTCAAGTCGTTTCCCATTATCTATGAAGAAAATAGAAGATAAAATGACATCTGATAACATCAGCAATGTCATAACTAACAAAACTGCTAGCATTTGAGTTTTTATTATATGCTAGATTTTTCTAGGCCCTATATGTGTTACTTTCAATTCTCTCAGCAAACTATGAGAAATGTATTATGATTATCTCCATGAAAATATATGAGGATACTTAGACATAGAAAGAACTTTCTCAGTGATAGTGCTAATAAATGGCAGAGCTGAGATTTGAACCTAAGCTGTCTGATTCCAGAGCCTCTGGTCTAACCATTGCTTGGTACTGCCTCTCATATGAGGTGAATTTTTGCTTAGAACTTTTTCTGTTGAATTTCAGCTATAATTAAGATTTAAAGTTTTTAGTATTAGTAAACCTAATATATATAATTGTATAATTAAACTTTGCTTAGTTTTTTTTTTTCATTCTACTGATCTGAAACCAATAGATAGTATTTCGATATGAGAATCTTAAAGGAATTGACCCTGATTATAAGACAGATGGTGCAGGAATGAGGAAAACATATCTAGATTTTAGCACTTGCCTTCACTGGCTTCAATTCTTGAAACAGATTGCCTGAAGAAGTAGGAAGATGCCCTACATTTTGTCCCCCATCTGTCCACTGACTTGAAGACACTTGGATGTGTACCTAAGAGAGGACTGGTAACTCTTCCTCTCCTCTGTATTCTGTGGATGACTATGTATCCTAGAAAACGACAGGGCAAGAAGGAGAGAGAAAGGGAGAGAGAGGGACTGAAACCTGTGGGGGCACTGACACTGACACTGTGGAAGTTCACACTGAAGTAGAGCATTGTGCGTAGGAGCAGGTGGGAACCTGTCAACAGTAATAGTTTACATTCTTTAGGTCTTCTTAATGCTGATTTATTTTTTACCTTCCTGTTCTATAAATGACTGAGAGAAATAACAGGTTAAATTGTCCTGCTGCTGCTGTTTCCCAATTTCTAACTGTTTTTGTAAGTATTTCGATGCCATGTTATTCAGCACATTAAAAATTATTGTCTTGATTTGCCACTTTAACATTTTATATGGATTTACTCATTATCAAAGTAAAATGACTTCTGTTCTAAGGCTACCCTGTTGTTCTGCTTTGTCTCTTAGTAATAGTGTGTTTCCTTGCCGTTTCTTGTTTGCATTTTTATACTATAACCTTGTCTCTCATTTTACCATGTAATGACTTCAGTATATTCTAAAGACTTTTGATAAATTCAAAAAATATTTGCTAAGAACTCTGAGTGAGCTATGAACAGAAGGAAAGTTCCTTAACATAAAAGAGAATCTCTATTCCAAACTACCAGAACTTGATGGTAGTAGAATGCTAGTGGCATCTCAGTAAAGTCAGGAACAAAATATGTATTTTCACATTATTATTGAATACTATAAAAGTTCTAGTTGTTATAATAAAGTACTAACAGTAAACAACAAGAAATATGAAGGAAAATAGAAAACTACAAAGAATGTAAAATAATTTGTTTAAAGGAAGAGATCTGTAGTGTTTGGATGTGAATTTTTTAACAACTTCATATCATTTCTTCCCAAATCAATCTCCAGATTTTATTTAATCAAATCACAATGCCATTTTAGTTATTTTTGAGCAATAGCAAAGTTTATTTGAAAGAATGGGTTAAAATATTTTGAAGAAGAATGATAATGTTTGGTGGTGGTAGGAGGAAGACCTGGAGTAATACTCCATGGAGTAATACTCCATATGTGAGCGTGCTGCAAAGCTCCAGTCATTAAAACAGTTCAGTACAGCTGTGGGAATAAACGTGGATTCAGTAGAACAAAAGAAAAAGTTAAAATATAGTTACAAGTGCATTTGTAAGTATTTAGATAATAAAGGCATCTCAAGTTAGTGGGAAAAAGGATAGATTATTTAATAAATGAACATTTTCAAACTGAAGGTTAAAATCCAAGTGCGAGTCATGAAATCAACTTAGTGAGTCATAATGGTTTTAAAAAATAGAATAGAAAAGAAAACATTCACTGTCACATGACAAGAATTGTTTTGTGGGTCTTTTGTTTTTATTTCTGTTAAATGTGTGTTGGATTATGATATAAAATTTGTTTATTTATTATGAAATTTACTGTCAAATTGGTTTCATACAACACCCAGTGCTCATCCCAACAGGTGCCCTCCTCAATACCCATCACGCACCCTCCCCTCCCTCCTACCCCCCATCAACCCTCAAATTGTTCTCAGTTTTATTTAAGAGTCTTATGGTTTGGCTCCCTCCCTCTCTAATTTTTTTTTTTTCCTTCCCCTCTCCAATGGTCTTCTGTTAAGTTTCTCAGGATCCACAGAAGAGTGAAAACATATGGTATCTGTCTTTCTCTGTATGACTTATTTCACTTAGCATAACACTCTCCAGTTCCATCCATGTTGCTACAAAGGGCCATATTTCATTCTTTCTCATTGCCACGTAGTATTCCATTGTGTATATAAACCACAATTTCTTTATCCATTCATCAGTTGATGGATATTTAGGCTCTTTCCATAATTTGGCTATTGTTGAAAGTGCTGCTATAAACATTGGGGTACAAGTGCCCCTCTGCATTAACATTCCTGTATCCCTTGGGTAAATTCCTAGCAGTGCTATTGCTGGGTCATAGGGTAGATCTATTTTTAATTTTTGAGGAACCTCCACACTGTTTTCCAGAGCAGCTGCACCAGTTTGCATTCCCACCAACAGTGCAACAGAGTTCCCATTTCTCCACATCCTCGCCAGCATCTATAGTCTCCTGATTTGTTCATTTTAGCCACTCTGACTGGCGTGAAGGTGGTATCTGAGTGGTTTTGATTTGTATTTCCCTGATGAGGAGCGACGTTGAGCATCTTTTCATTGTGAAGGAAATTGAAGAAGACATAAAGAAATGGAAAAACATTCCATGCTCATGGATTGGAGGAATAAATAGTTAAAATGTCAATACTACCCAAAGCTAGCTACACATTCAATGCAATCCCCATCAAAATTGCACCAGCATTCTTCTCGAAGCTAGAACAAGCAGTCCTAAAATTTGTATGGAACCACAAAAGACCCCGAATAGCCAAAGTAATTTTGAAGAAGAAGACCAAAGCGGGAGGCATCAGAATCCCAGACTTTAGCCTCTACTACAAAGCTGTAATCATCAAGACAGCATGGTATTGGCACAAAAACAGACACATAAACCAATGGAATAGAATAGAGAACTCCAGAATTGGACCCACAAAAGTATGGCCAACTAATCTTGGACAAAGCAGGAAAGAATATCCAATGGAAAAAAGACAGTCTCTTTAACAAATGGTGCTGGGAGAACTGGACAGCAACATGCAGAAGAATGAAATTAGACTGCTTTCTTACACCATTCACAAAAATAAACTCAAAATGGATAAAGGACCTGAATGTGAGACAGGAAACCATCAAAACCCTAGAGGAGAAAGCAGGAAAAAACATCCCTGACCTCAGCCGCAGCAATTTCTTATTTGCCACATCTCCAAAGGCAAGGGAATTAAAAGCAAAAATGAACTCTTGGGACCTCATGAAGATAAAAAGCTTCTGCACTGCAAAGGAAACAACCAACAAAACTAAAAGGCAACCAACGGAATGGGAAAAGATATTTGCAAATGACATATCGGACAAAGGGCTAGTATCCAAAATCTATAAAGAACTCACCAAACTCCACACCCTAAAAACAAATAATCCAGTGAAGAAATGGGCAGAAAACATGAATAGACACTTCTCTAAAGAAGACATCCAGATGGCCAACAGGCATATGATAAAATGTATTCCTTAATGTGGATCATAGTTTAAAAAGTTTGAAAAGCACTGGTATTTTGATAAATGGTGTTTTGATAAATAGCTAACCATTTGGAGGAAAACGTTCAAAAAGCATATAAAGGAATACAGACAGACTAAATAAAAGGCTGGGCTAAACTATGTCAATTGAATAGTTGAATATAGTTGAATAGTCAAAAGAATCATAGTATTAAGAGTCATTTTACAAAGGAGAGTTCAAGGCAAATATACGAAGCAAAGCATACAAGGCTGTAGAATAAGAGAAAATAGTAAAAAATATATTAATATTAAATCAAACCAAATCCATGAAATACTGTTAGCAATTCAAAGGTGATAGAAATACAATCTAAATATATATTTAGTAAAATATATTTTAAATAAAATAAAGTAAAATAAAAAGTAAAATATATTTTTAATCTTATAGATACACTTACTATAGTAAAAATATGAGATAAATAAAATTAAATATAAAGGATATTGGATGTCACCTATCTCCAAATACATATATTTTTGATACAGATTAAAAAATTCAGTGTGACTTTCTTCTTTAAATGTTTATTTTTGAGAGAGAGAGCAGGGGAGGGTCAGAGATAGAGGGAGAGAGAGAGAATCTCAAGCAGACTCCATACCTTCAACACAGAGCCTGATGTGGGATTCAACCCCATGAACCATGAGATCATGACCTGAGCCTAAATCAAGAGTCAGATGCTAGGTACCCCTGCACACAGATTTTCTAACTTTTATCATATAAAAAAGAAACTGACCTATTTCTTTCTGTGTTTTTAGAGGACTATTTTAATAAAGGGAAAAATGAGTCTGAGGACAGTAAGCTTCGATTCGAAACTTATCAGTTGATATGGCAGCAGATGAAATCTGAAACTGAGGTGAATACTTTTTTTAATAACTTATATTTCTCTATTACCGTAAATCTCGTATTTGTTGCTTCCCATCTTCCTTTCCACCAAATTTCAAGAGTATTGATGAAACGTAGGTAATATTAGTTTAGCATAAGCTGTATATTCTAAAAAAACACTCCTGTTCCAAGTATTAAGCATGGCTTCAGGTACTGGAACATACATTTAAATTTGTTTTTTTTAACATTTATTTATTATTGAGAGACAGAGAGACACAGAATGTGAGCAGGGGAGGGGCAGACAGAGAGGGAGATACAGAATCCCAAGCAGGTTCCAGGCTCTGAGCGGTCAGCACAGAGCCCTACGCTGGGCTCGAACTCACAAACTGCGAGATCATGACCCGAGCCGACGTCGGTCACCCAACCAACTGAGCCACCCAGGCACTCCTGGAACATACATTTATAATGATAGCTGCTAAGGCAAGGGGCTCTACATATGCTCACAGCTTTTAAATGGTGGCACTCTTTAAATTAATCCATTCAGTTATAGAATTAAGGAATCAAGCTATTTTTAAAATACTTTATTCCCTCATTCCTCATATCCAATTTCTTCTGTGTTCTTTATATTCTAGCCCTAAAAAATGTCTGTACTTTAGCAGATTTGTAGTTCTAGGGCCAACATCTTGAGCGGACTTGTTTTATTTGAGCAACACAGTGTTTTTGTTTGTTTGTTTGTTTTAAATGGGAGGGTTATGCACTCTGTTTATTACTGCTTCCTACCACTCTTTATTGCTTTCACCTAGGGCTTTGCACATTCATGTATTCCCTTGAAAGACCCTTGAAGGAATTTGAGTTTGTGGTTTCTAGCGTAGGCCTTCATTTCTTAACCTGAATTGTGATGATCTTCCTAACTGATGTCTCTGCCTCTGATGTCAGACCCCTCAGGTCTGTCATTAGTCCCTGTAGCACCATTGGCCAAATTAGGAAAGTCCTGCCTTCAGGCAGATACAGTGCCAGGCTGCAGGGGTTTTCCAGCCTCACTGCCAGTACAGCTTCTCCCATCTGTTCACAGTGCTGTCAGATTAACCCTTTCAACCTTCATTTAATCACATCTCTGCTTCATGTCCCTTCAGTGGTTCTCCCCAGGGGATAAAACCCAAATCTTTTAACACCAAATGTAATTTTATTGGTCTAGCCCCTTGTTTATTTGTCCAGGCTCATTCCCTACCACTTCTCATGTTCTTGATGCTTAGCTGTGTGTGTGGTTCCCTGGATACTTGGTGCTTGCTTGCTTCCCTGCTCCCTCTACTCCCCATTCGTTCTGATTTTCTTCTCCCTATAGTCGCCTCCCCCATCACCTGCTTTAATGCTTTGGCTCACATCCTCAGCTTAAGTTGGATGGTCCTACTCTTTATTCTGTATTATCATAGCACTTTACACAATGTTTTTAAATTGTAAGTGTTCTTAATTTTTTTCACTGTTTTAGGATAAAGACTACCTTTCCTTTGTAAGGTGGTTAGTAAATGTTTGTTGAATGAATAAATTTGATTCTTTAATGAGGGAATCCAAAATACTAATGAATGGAGATTTAAGGAAAAAATATTTTTTATTTCATCCATCTAATAATTTTATACATAATCTTTGGCATTCATGATGATTTTCTTTCCCAGACTTGGAAAGATGCATCACATTACTACTGATAATAATTCATAAAGTTTTGTGTTTTCTTTGTAGCAACTACAAGAAGAATTAAATAAAAACCTATTCAATAGTCTAATTGAATTTCTGCAACAGTCTTATTCTGGATTCCATAAGAATTCAAGAGACTGGGGCTGTCAAATAAAACTCAGAGAAATTCCAACTGCTGCTCTTATTCTAGGTATGTATGGGTGTAGGTTTGTTTTTTTAGTTAGTGGTTTTGTTGAGAATAGTAGAGACTAACTTCTCTTGATCAACCTGTTTTGTGTCTTTCATTTATAGAATTAAACTAATTATACTGTTCTAACTACTTTCAAAACCAATAAAAGTTCCTTATAGTGACTGTACAACTTTAAATTAAAAGAAATTGATCCGGGAATAGCTAGTACCCTCCTCAACTTTCTGTCAGAAAAATGAAGGAGAAATATATTTGCGTTACTCTTCCTTAGTTATTTTATGAGAATAGATGAGATTTGAATTCGGTAATAAAGAAACCACCAGTGGGTTAGTAGATTAGATTTGTGTGCTTTTTTTTAAAATTGTTATCTTCAGTGGAATTATCTATGACCCTAATTTTATTTCCCTGTGCTTAGTTTATCAATCTTAGATTATTTCATAATACTGCATGAAGTTTATAAGGGGGCTTGGATGAATTATATATAAATTGCTTTTAAGCTGCAGATTGTAAATTTCTTAGGTACTTAAATATCCATCATTAATATCCCATTTTAACCAAATTATCTGGCTGCAGGATAATGGAAAATTTCTTTGGAATACTAGCAAATTTCCTTATTTCTTTTGGAAAGAAAGTGGGTTTATTTGGATTTCAAATGTACTCTTCATTGCACTTGCAATTTGTTATTTATTCAAGGTTTGTTAAACTAGTGGGCACTGAGATAGTAACTTAGTTGTATTATTTAATACTGATTTTTTTAAAAAAAATCATTAGAGAGAGAATGAATGGGTGGAGGAGGGGCAGAGAGAGAGAGAGAGAGAGAGAGAGAGAGAGAATCTCAAGCAGGCTCCAAGCTGAGCTGTCTGTGCTCAGCCCAGCTCGGGGCTTGACCCCACAAACTGAGATCCTGACCTGAGCTGAAATCAAGAGTTGGATGCTCAACCGACTGAGCCACCCAGGTGCCCTAATACTGCCTTTAATCCTGTTCATTATCTAAATCTCATTCCTGATGTTCAGGGCAATACTTAGCAAAATTTAATGTACTTACAAATAACCTCCAAGGGATCTTAATAAATGCAGGCTTTCATTAATAGGTCTGAGGCAGGGCCTAAAACTCTACATTTGTAACAGGCCTCCTGCTGATGCCCATACTGCTGATCCCAGAACCACTCTGAGTAACGACACAGGGAATGATTTTTATAATACTGTGAACAGCTTTTCAGTGCAGCCTGCACTTAATTTCAAAACCCTTTTCATTCATGGATGAGAAACTGAGACCCAGTGATGGCCTGATTATACTGTTTGGTGCTTTGTTTCTCTACTACTAGGTTACAACAATTGGAAGTGGAGTGGGGAAAATGTAATCAAGAGGGATGGCTTGATAGATTGTTGAGAGAGCACTGTTTAAATCCCTTATCTGCCTACTGCCAAAAGGAGAAAAGAAGCTAATGGAAATCTTATATTTCAAAGTCAGTAGTCTGAGAACATTTTTTCAGTTAAAGACATTGTTGATTTTCTTGTTTCCGATATACAGTCCATTGTTGTAAGCAACATAATGTTAAATAGCTTATAAAGTCAATCAGTGAAAGACAAGATAAACTGGTGTTTTGCTGAACTCCTAAATTTGTTCAGAGATACAGTATCACAATCATAGACCATAATGCAAGGAATATCATTTTGATACTGTAAAAAAAAATATGTAGTCAAAGAATGTTTAGGCACAGTTGCACATTTTCTATTTTCAAAAAGATATATGTCTGTTTAAAAGTAGCCTGCCAGGGCACTTGTGTGGCTTAGTTGGTTAAGTGTTGGACTCTTGATTTTGGCTCAGGTTATGATCTCGTGATTCATGAGATTGAGCCCTGCGTCAGGCTCTGTGGGGAGCATGGAGCCTGCTTGAGATTCTCTCTCTCTCTCCCTCTCTCTCTCTCTTTCTGCCTCTCCCCTGATCTATCTCTCTCAAAATAAATAAGCCTTTAAAAAAAATTTATTCATTTATTTTGAGAGACTGAGAGAGCTCATGCAAGTGCACAAAGCAGGGTCAGAGAGAGAATCCCAGAAAGGCTCAGTGCTGTCACTGTAGAGCCCTACTTGGGGCTTGAATCATGAATCATGACATCATGACCTGAGTCGAAACCAAGAGTTGGATGCTTAACTGACTGAGCCACCCAGTCTTCCCATAAATAAAGGAAAAACATAGCCTGCCAACATTTTTATTTATTGACTTGCCTAGAAAAAATTTTTCTGTTTATTGGTGGCCTAGATTCTGAACCTTTTGTTTTTCTTCTAGACAGTTGAAGTTTTATAGTAGCACTTATCAAGCAGTTTCAAGATAGCTGCTGTTGCCACCTGCCTAAGTGCCAAAGCACTTTCTAGAAATCTCAGATTGTGACGTAAAGGAAAGTGTCAGTCAGTAGAATTTTTTCCAATGTGATAGGGAAATTACACTCAACTCTGATAACTGCATGCACAGCACTAAACTCTGACTTGTGGAAATGAGAACGAGAGGCTTAGTAAATACCTAAAGTACCTGAAGTTTTGTTTTTAGCCTCTTCCCTCAGAAATCAGCTTAGTGTGTATTTTACTATTGTATTTACTACAACAGTCATTAATAGGATTAGTGATTGGATTCTCCTCACTTGTTAAGTCAGGATCACAGTAAACCCGGAATCTGTAGCCCTTATTTTTGAATGAGTATTTTAAAGAGTACTTTATGAATTTGACAAGTAATAAAATTACTCCTAAGATGTTTTCATGGGTTAACTACACATTCTCAGTAATGTTTTTTAAAGAGAGATTATGCTAAATACCCTTTCTGACAAGTATTTTGTGTGCTTCCAGGTATCTATTGTTAATGGAGATCTCTTCATTTATGCAGGATATTTTCTTGGTTTCTGTTATTAATCATGGGGTTTTTTTTGTTACTCATATTTTTAAAAATATTTTTATTCAGTAATTCACTAGACATGTTAAGTAGCTTTGTTGTTAAATTATTTATAGTACAAATGATGGTGTAATACTGATGTATTATCCCATAGGTGTGAATGTAACTGATCATGATTTAACATTCAGAAGTCTAACAGAAGCCCTTCAGAATAATGTCACTCCATATGTAGTCTCATTGCAAGCTAAAGATTGTCCAGGTACAGTATAAATGCCCTAATAACCTTGGTGAGATGTTACAGATCTCTTCTGACCTTCTTTCCGCCCCCCCCCCCCCCCGCCCTAGCTTTGTTGATCCCTTTTTATTTGTGGGAAGAGCATGGCACAACATTTGGGCAGGGTGAGGTTTATTGCCTATCATGGTAATGTTGACTGTTGCAGGACTCATTGCCACCTTTTGCTTCCTTTATTCCAGCGCCCCGCGCCCGCCCCCCCCCGTATCAGCTTCGCTGCCAGTAATAGTTTAGATATTTTATGAGATGTGTTCCCTAACCCGGTAAAAGTCTAATAAGTTGGAAGGTTTGGGACAGGGAGCTAGAATTAAGGATTGGGGAGCTCTTATTTATCCCAACAGAGAATAGACTGTGTAGGCTCATATTTCAGCCTCCAATCATCTTATTGTCCTGCTCTGAAAGATTAGCATGGTAAAAAATGTCCATTGCCAGAGCTAATCTATATGAAACCATTAAATTGTAAAGGATATGGACACTAATAGAGTAAAATGGAATGAGATTTGAATTGACATAAGGGCTTTATGTGCTTATATTACTTTCATAATCATAAACTGATTGGAACTGATTAAGTCAAAGCCCTTAGGACATCTTTTAAAATGACTATAAGGAAGATTTGTAATCAGTAAAATAACTTATGTAAGTAACACTTTTGATCGTTTTTAGAGGCCTTAAAAATTTTTTGCTGTCTAGTGTAACTTAAATATATAGTGTCCTCATAAGATTTATAGTTTTTGTGTTTACACATTTACTTAGGTAACATTTTTAGTATAGATAGTATACATAAACTTTGGCTTAGTGTTAGTCTGAATTAATGAAATTTAAATATTAAAGAGAAGATACTAATGAACATTAATAGTTAATATGTTAAATGTTAAATTAATGTTAAGTGTACAAGAATACATTCTACCCAAATGTAATATACTGATTAAGAAGTTTCAGTTGTTTCATATTTGTTTTAAAGGGAGATAAGCTTTCTTACCTTTTATATTCTGCAGATATGAAACATTTTTTGCAAAAGCTGGTCTCAAAGTTGATGAACTGCTGTGTAGATGAGGAATCCAAAGAGGAAAGTATTCAGGTCACCCAGAAAAAGACATTTTGTTCAATGGATTCTCTTTCCAGCTGGTATATGAGTGTCACACAGGTAAATGTAAACTGACAATTTTTAGGGGGGGATTTGCATCTGATTGAAGAGGCTTAGAATTGCATTAAACGTAATACTGTTCTAATAAGAATATGCTTATGCACCCTAGCTGTTAAGTAATGGTAGCTACTTTTCCTAAGGCTATTAGAATTTTTAAGTATTCTTTTATCAGTATGCAGTCTAATTCCTGGTAAGTATTTAGGTTCTCATTTTAGAAGGCCATTTTATTTGTGGGAGAATGTCATCTAGTGACAAAAACAGCATCAGGAATTGGTTCTGTGGCAGATTCTATCTCTGTGACAATGGCTATGACTTTAATATATTATCTCTTAGGTTCCTCAATATTTGCTTTTGTGTGGTTGAACCATGCTGCCAGTTCCCAGTGTCAACTTAGTCCAATGAGAAATAGTCATTTTTTGGGGCGCCTGGGTGGCGCAGTCGGTTAAGCGTCCAACTTCAGCCAGGTCACGATCTCGCGGTCCGTGAGTTCGAGCCCCGCATCGGGCTCTGGGCTGATGGCTCAGAGCCTGGAGCCTGTTTCCGATTCTGTGTCTCCCTCTCTCTCTGCCCCTCCCCCGTTCATGCTCTGTCTCTCTCTGTCCCAAAAATAAATAAACGTTGAAAAAAAAAAATTAAAAAAAAAAAAAAAAAGAAATAGTCATTTTTTAAAAAAATCTAATTTGTTCCACATTTACAATTCTTGGGGAATAAATGGTCTGTAAGTAAAGTACATTCAACAGTAAACAGTTAACTAAAAAGAAGCTCCATTCTGCCATCACAGTCTCTGGTGAGAATGAACAACCTAGGTGATTCATGGATAACTGTACCATAAAACCACAGCTTTAGTTTATGATGCCGTGTAGCCAGATAGTATGGGAAAAAATACTGTGGTAACATTTTCTGATAAAACGTATTTGCTGAAGTCGACCGTAAGTGAAGTTTCATTTTGCTTTATATAGGAATTAAGTTGGGTCTCATGCATATCATAATATCTTAATTTGATCCACAATTTAAAATTTTCTAGAAATCAGATGCTACATGCAGTTTATGTCAGATATCTTTAAAAGATTGGGATTGGACCAGATGGTATTAAAGGTGCTTTTCAACTTGAAATTTAACAGTAGCAGACCAGCAAGTAGTGTTGTTTATTGTGCTTTTCAATTAAAAATACTAGTTCTCACCTTAAAGCAAAGCAACATATAACATTCTATTAACAGAAAAAATAATTTATAGAAAATGTTCTCCCCATGCTTTTTTGTCATTTTCTCAGATAGCAAAAAAATATAAATATTTCATATGAGTTATAGATTTTACTGAACCTTTTTCTTGGTTATTATTCCCATGTCAGACACAAAAAGATTCTGCTAATAACTGTTGGAATGAGTTTCTCTTTATTATGTGGGAGAAATAAAAGAAAAAGCATTACTGTAAAATGTAAAGGGAGATACATCATTGTAGTGTTGTAGCATTGTTTGAATGGTAAGGCTTACTTTAACTCCTTTTTACGTGACTTTAAAGAAGACAGATCCAAAACTGCCAAGGAAAAAGAGGACTTCGTCTAGCCAATGGCAGTCTCCTCCTGTTGTGCTTATCTTAAAGGATTTGGAAAGCTTCACCACAAAAGTACTCCAGGACTTCATAATTATCAGCAGGTAGATGATATATCACCTGGCTTTTACATAAAATTCTTTTTATTAAGGAAACATGTAACTTTTAACTTGAAGAGCAACCTTTTCCAGAGAAAATGAATGGCAGTTTAATCTTCATTTTAATACCAACTGGATAGAAACCAGAATGATTTCAAATTCCTTATAATTAAATGTTCAAAGACCTCCTATCAGATTTTCATTTGCTTTTTGATCCAAGAATGAGATCAAAAGACTAAAGTTAGCCACCTTTTAATTAGTATGAAAAGGCAATATAAAATGTAGTTTCTCTCACCAAGGTCGTCTGTCTCTTGCCCATTAAATCGATAAATTACTCCAGCTTGAGATGTTTGTCAGGTCTTATTTTCTGATACCTATCCACCATTAGAAGCTCTGAGTTACATATAGCTCTTCTGAGCAAGTATGTTTTCTAAATAACATTATCTTATATAATTTTTATAATGAGAAACTATTTTCATGATCTCATTGGATTTTCAGGGCATTCCTGTGAAACTCAGAATTGAACTAACTAACCCTATTTAAAATCCAGTGACATGTATTTGCCGTGGTGCATTTTTAGGATATAATTTATTTTGGCTTTTTCTGTATGTTAACTTAATAGGTGTGGCTAAATTTACCTAAAGCTATATATTGTCTTATAATTACTATTTTGATAGTGTCTTTTTCTTCCCCCATAGAAACGAAGATTTCTAGATTCTAAGAATTTTCTTAATGCTAAAACTGAACTGCTTAACATGCTTGAAAGTTGCGCACTAAGAATATTGACAAAAGAGCTGTACTTTTTTGGAGCTTAGACTTGTGACTCCTGTTGCCATCTAAAGTGAGGAAGAACTTAGAGCAGTAACAGAGCCAGGGCACTCCACTCCTATGAAGGTAGAACTGCATAGCTAGAATACTGACAAGCAATAGCCAGTAGGAGGTAGCAAACAAAATCATCAGCCATGGTACAAAGTGTTCAGACCCACAGTAGCTCTCAAAGATAGTGCTGTTTTACTCTGTGGGAGTCATTTGTGTTCATACTAGTAATACTAGGAATAAATCATGTCCAATAAGTTTGAGTTAATGCAAGGAAAGTATATAACATTTTTAAATGGTGTCCATTAAAAATATGTCTTACATATGTGTAAGGAAAGTTTCCTGTTTCTTAGCTATTATGTATAGCTGGGTGACATAGTGTTTGTTAGAAATGTGCATAAATAGAATAAGTTACCTTGAAAAATGTGAGCTTCATGTCACTGAACTCTTAAAGCATAGACTGGATGTCTAACTGTTAGGAAGACTATAGAGCTCAAACTTTGGATGAGAGGTTAAATTGAATATCTAACTCTTCTAACACTTGAGATTGTATAACCTTAGAGAGAGGCACTTGATCTCTCTGGACCTCTGTATTCTTATTTATAAAATGAGAGGATCTTTTAGTAGATTGATTTCAGAGCTAGAATGTCTGGGAAAAAACCATCTATATTACTTTAACGGGAAAATAAGTGACCTAGAAAATTTTAGTATTTAGAATGATACTCTTCATCAGTGTCTTACACAGTAGACATTCAGATAAAGATGGTCTTAATTTGAAATTTGATGTATTGAAATATATTTGCTAAAAAAAGAAAAATCCCAATTTTGTATTTTCCTTTGAAAACCAGTCAACATCTACATGAATTTCCACTAATACTCATTTTTGGAATTGCCACGTCTCCTATTATCATCCATCGGTTGCTTCCTCATGCAGTATCATCTCTGTTGTGCATAGAACTTTTCCAGTCTCTGTCCTGCAAGGAGCACCTGACTACGGTACTTGATAAGGTAAAAAGAAAAAATTGTATCAGTGAAATAGGATGAAAAGAAGACAGCCAAGAATAGATGATAAATGTAAACATTAGTGATAAATTTCTGAATCTCTCAGAGTATGATATTGAACATATTTCTTCACATTTTTTTATATTTAATGATTTTTATAGGGCACAATATTGCCTCTTCAGATAAAATAAAAGCTTTGTAGAAAGAATGATTCTATTTTTCTGTATCTACCTACCTACCTACCTATCAATCAGTCATTACTCAATGGAAAATTTTAGGTTTTTAATAAATTTTAATAAAATTTAATGATTTCCTAAAAGCAGCAACCATGTTTTTACTCCTACATTTTATTTAAAGTAATTTGAGGGGCATCTGGGTGGCTCAGTCTGTTAAGCATACTACTTCGGCTCAGGTCATGATATCGCACTCTATGAGTTTGAGCCCCACGCTAGCCTCTGTGCTGACCTCTCAGAACCTGGAGCCTGCTTTGGATTCTGTGTCTCCCTCTCTCTCTGCACCTCCACTGCTCAAGCTCTGGGTGTCTGTCTGTCTCTCTTAAAGGTAAACAGTAAAAAAATAAAATAAAATAATTTGATATTTTTAGTGGACCCTTTCCTGTCATTGCTGCTCTTGGCAGAAGATAAATACTGACATTTCCTCAGACCTTAGCTCTATGTTTCAATTAGTTTTAGTTCTGTTTCTACCTAAATTATTATTGACCTTCCACAAAGTGTTGCCAGACTCAACTCTTTCAAGGTGTGCTTTATATTGCTTGTGTAAGGTAAATTATGAAAAACTTCCATTTATTTACTGACCACTTATACATTTTTTTCCCCATGAAGCTGGTATCCGTTTGTTTATGGATACTTTGAGGAAAATTTTTATAGCTGCCGTATTTAAAATGGCTCAATTGTGGTCAAATGCAGGTGGCCTTTTATAACTACATTTCAGTTTTAAAAGCCTAGTGTGACTTTTCATTTTCAGGTATAAAATCTTCACTTTAGGCCATTGAAAATTAGCTGAGTAATACAAATGCAGCTATTTTGTAACAGATAACATCTGTTAATTTGGGTTTTTTCATTCAACAGTGCATAATGTGTTATTCCTCATTAATGTGTGTAAGTTAGGGATGAAAAAGAAATCTTATAATAAGAATTACCAAAGCCTATAGCTTCTTCAGTGGCTTCTGGCGGGAGAAGACGGATTGTATAGTTAATAGATGGTATTTTTTTAAATTAGTAATTGAATGGAAGATGGTGGACATCTTTGATTCTGAAGATGTAGTATGAATAGCTTCTTTTGGTTATGATTCTTACGTAAATTAATTTAAAGTTTTAGTTGATATTTGACCTAAAAATAACCTAGCTACTTTTATAGCTTTCATGGTTACTGTGTCATAGTATCATTCTTTGCCTCATGATTTATACTTGATATTTATGAAGAGTAAAGACTAATAAGGAGTGTGTCCTATTCCCCTTTTATGTCTTTCAGCTACTTCTTACAACTCAGTTTCCCTTTAAACTAAGTGAAAAAGTGCTACAGATTTTGACCAACATCTTTTTGTATCATGATTTCTCAATTCAAAACTTTATAAAAGGACTTCAGGTAAGAAGACACTAATGGGTGTGAAAGTTCATAAGCTGATTCTAAGTAATTTGCATATTATTTGAAACTATTTAGTGTGATAAGACATTTTAAATGGCAAACTCTAAAATAAGTAAATTCAGGTGTCACCTGGGTGGCTCAGTCGGTTAAGTAACCAACTTCGGCTCAGCTCATGATCTCACAGTTTGTGAGTTTGAGCCCCGCATCGGGCTCTGTGCTGACAGCTCAGAGTCTGGAGCCTGCTTCAGATTCTGTGTCTTCCCCTCTCTTTACACCTCCCCTGCTCACGCTCTGTGTCTCTCTGTCTCTCAATAATAAATAAATGTTAAAGAAAAAAAAATTTTAAGTAAGTAAATTCAAGTTATGTTATTCTAGGCTCTACCATTTCTTAGTTACCTGCAGCAAAACATAGAGAATATATTAATGCAGATGTCAAAAATGGATAAAGACATCCCACACACCCCCTGCATTCCAATGATTCTTAACTATTTAGGGGTAGGGAAGAAGGGACTCTTATTTATTTATTTTTTTAATATATTTATTTTGAGGGAGAGAGAGCATGAGCAGGGAGGGACAGAGAAAGAGAGGGAGAGAGAGAATCCAGAGTAGGCTCCACACTGTCAAGGCAGAGCCCATTGACACTGGGCTCAATCTCAGGAACTATGAGATCATGACTTGAGCCAGGTTTAACCAACTGAGCCACCCAGGTGCCCCAGGGACTTTTTTTGTTTGTTGTGAGATTCTTGATTTCTTCCTAAAAAATACTATATATGAGGGATCAGCAAATTTTCTGTAAAGGATCAGATATTAAATATTTTTGGCTGTGAATGCTACATCTCTGTTGCATATTCTTTTTCTTCTTTTTAAATAACCGGTTAAAGATATAAAAAACATTTGTAGTTCCTGGGCCATGTAAAAATAGTCTGTGGGCCATAGTTTGTTGTCCCTTGCACATATATGTATATGTATTCATTTATATTTATTCTTGCATATTGGGAAAGCAGTTTTACTAAGGTTTCATGAATTGCCAGAAGAAAATTCATGAACTCAGCTTCATACTATCTGTTCTAAACTACAAAAGGAGCCCATTCTCCAGTTATTTGGAAGTTAATGTTATCTTCTTCTCTTGGCATCTACCTTAAAATACCTTAGTAAAGTGTAGTCATTATAAATACATGCCATTGTAAATACATGTTACTAAAACCAATATATTAGTAACCTTCAGTACAAAAGTGCAATATTATAATACCTCACATTTGTGTAGTAACTTGAAGTTTACAAATTATTTCTGTTATGTATTTTTTCTCCATGTAAAACACTGTAGTGCTCTCTTATGGCTAACATGTCGTTTTTTCCAACCTGACTTTAAAAAAAAAATATTTCAAAGCAACAAAATTACCTTAGCAATATGCGAAATTAAATGATATTGAGGTATAATACATTTCTTAATTTTTTTTTACATTTATTTATTTTTGAGAGACAGAGCACTAGTGGGGAAGGGGCAGAGAAAGAGAGAGAGACAGACAGATAGACAGAATCCAAAGCAGGCTCTAAGTTCTGAGCACAGAGCCCGACGCAGGGCTTGAACTCACAAACCGTGAGACCATAACCTGAGCCAAAGTCGGATGCTCAACCGACTGAGCCACCCAGGCACCCCAAGATCTAATACATTTCTAATTTGCTTCTCTCATACATTTTACTTCACTCATTTGTTTACTGAAAAGTATTTATCAAGAGCCGACTGTAAGCCAAGAATTATGCTGAGCCCTAGAGATACAGAGGACAAGGAAATCTCTGCCTTCAGATTGCTCTTTTGTTTAGTGAAGGAGGCAGAATGGGAAATTACAGTTCTCAATAGTCAGTGCTATGAAAGAAACGTGTGGGGATTCCATAAGAAAACGAAAGTATATCCTAAGGAATAGAGGCTCACCAGATTAAAATGGGAAGCGCATTCTAGGTAAAGACAACAGTAGAGGGAGAGAGATCTGTTGGAGGACTACTGCACTGATCTAGACAAGATATAACAAGGGCTACACTAAGGTTGTGATAGTGGAACTAGAGAGGAGGAATCAGATTTGGGGATGAGATAGAATCGACAGACCCTGGTGACTAAGTGGATGATAGGATGCATAAGAGAAGCATAAGTTCTATCTTGACAAATGGATTGGAGGTGGTACCATTTATTAAGTATATGCATTAATATAAAGTGAAGAGCCAGTTAGAAAAAGGTGAGTTTCTTTTTGTATATGGTTTTTTCAGGTATGTTGGATAATAAAGATTTGGCACTCAGGAGAAAGATCTGGAAGTAAATAGAAATATTTAGGATTTATCATTAAAAGGTGGTGGTTGGGGCGCCTGGGTGGCGCAGTCGGTTAAGCGTCCGACTTCAGCCAAGTCACGATCTCGCGGTCCGTGAGTTCGAGCCCCGCGTCAGGCTCTGGGCTGATGGCTCAGAGCCTGGAGCCTGTTTCCGATTCTGTGTCTCCCTCTCTCTCTGCCCCTCCCCCGTTCATGCTCTGTCTCTCTCTGTCCCAAAAATAAAAATAAACATTGGAAAAAAAAAAAAAAAGGTGGTGGTTGAAGTCACATAGTGAGGATGAGGCATCATCCAGAGGAGTGAGGAAAGGACTAAGATTAGAATCTGGTTGTAAGCTGATAAGAGTAATAGAAAAGGAGACTAAAAACAATAAGGAAAACCAATAGAAAGTAGAGTAACACTGAAGTCAAGAGAAGGATGAGTTTTAGGTAATATCATTTCTCAAATACCATTGAGAAAGCAAGCAAAGAAAAGGGTGGGTATTCATCGAATTATGTAATCTCTTGGGGTCTCAGTTTTCTCATCTGTAAAATAGGGAATCAGATTAGATGATTTTATCGGTTCCTCATAATTTACTAAGCACCTCCTTTGTGCTAGCTCGTACTAAGTATTTACATTGTTTCATTAATGGGTACTATTATCCTCAGTTTTGCAGGTGAGGAAACAGAGGCTTAGGTTAAGTAGCTTGGCCAAGGTCACACAGCTTTTAAGTGGTAGAGCCGTTAGACCCCATTTGTCTACTTTTCCTAATCATCAGTGGGAAGTAATGCGTTAAGTCCTATTTTCCATAGGGGGTGCAGTAGGGTATATAATCATTCTGTGTATGTTTAAGGTTTTCCTTCATTAGTTGGATATGTTGACCAACTTGTTGACCCAGATTTTGAGAACATACTTAGACAAAGTAGGTGATACGGGGTTCTTATTTATAACTCTACTGTAAGTCATGTGACTTCCTCCCATTTCTCCTCCCCAGCAAGTCCCTTATATGTTTGTTTTTTACTTTTCTCATATTTAAAAAGTGATGTTAACATTGGAATAAATACTATCACAATATAATTGAAAAATGCAAGTAAGAAACAAGATTTTGTTAATATGTGTGAAAATAATTTAGCACTTGGCATGAACAGTTACTTTCTGTTTGGTATTTGTTTCTAAGTAAGGCTGGCTCTTTTCTTACAGCCTCATCCTTCCTCCAGAATGAACTATTTTGGAGGATTTCCTCTAGCCTTGGGTATCTGGTCTTCAGCTCTATAGGCTCAGAGATTCATTATCAGTTTACCCAGTAAGGATCAAGCTCAAATACCTTAATACCAATATATAAACTATCATGTTAATTTATTAATTTGTGATGGGAAATTCTATTTTCTAGTGACAAGACTGTGTTTTGTCCACTCTCTAGGGAAACTGTCTAGTATCAAGGTGTCTGGAAAAACCAAATTGGCCATAAAAAGGTTGCTTAGGGTCAACTTTTTAACATTTGAATAGTCTTGTAAGATACATCTTACAAGTTATGGTAGGTTCTGGAAAATCATTCCCCCTTATACTATGGGGACAACAGCACTCTTAACATTTAAATTTACCAGATATTGTACCATGTTTTTCTTCATGAAATAAAACTGAATTTAAAAAGATTTCTTTAGCTATTTCTCATTTTTCATTATTTTTTTTTATCAGAAGGGAAAGTTTCTACCATTGTAACATTTTTATTTTTTCAGCAGACCAAATTTTTTCACTGATTTTATAGATGAATATTTTCTTGTGAGTATTTGGACATCTATTAAACTCTGAGGTCACACCCCAGTCCTAACCCCACCATATTTACTGTTGCTGTGAGTTGGTTCTGCAGAGAGTTGATCTGTCCATTCATATTAGTTTCTTCTAATACATACTTCAGAGATTACAATTTTCTGAGCTTGTCCACAAAATCAGAGTCTTAAAATATTAAAGATACAGAATGATTTATGCATTGTTTGTAGTGTTATTGTGACATTAAATATATTAGTGCCATACTTCTGCTGTTTATAAAAAACCTTAGTGTGCTGTTTCAAAAGGCCACGTGCACCCCAATGTTTATAACAGTGCTATCAGTAATAAACAAAGTATGGAAAGAGCCCAAATGTCCATCAACAGTTGAATGGATAAAGAAGATGTGGTATGTGTGTGTGTGTGTGTGTGTGTGTGTGTGTGTATATATATATATATACACACACATACATACATATATACATATACATACATACACACACACAATGGAGTATTACTCGGCAATCAAAAAGAATGAAATCTTGGGGCGCCTGGGTGGCGCAGTCGGTTAAGCGTCCGACTTCAGCCAGGTCACGATCTCGCGGTCTGTGGGTTCGAGCCCCGCGTCAGGCTCTGGGCTGATGGCTCAGAGCCTGGAGCCTGTTTCCGATTCTGTGTCTCCCTCTCTCTCTGCCCCTCCCCCATTCATGCTCTGTCTCTCTCTGTCCCAAAAATAAATAAACGTTCAAAAAAAAAAATTTAAAAAAAGAATGAAATCTTGCCATTTGCAACTATGTGGATGGAACTAGAGGGTGTTATGCTAAGTGAAATAAGTCAGAGAAAGGTAAATATCATGTGACTTCACTCACATGAGGAATTTAAGATACAAAACAGATAAACATAAGGGAAGGGAAGCAAAAATAATTTAAAAACAAGGAGGGGGACAAATCATAAAAGACTCTTTTTTGTAATTTTATTTTTTACATTTATTTATTTATTTTTGAGAGACAGAGAGAGACAGAGCACAAGTGGGGGGAGGGGCAGAGAGAGGGGGACACAGAATCCGAAGCAGGCTCCAGGCTCTGAGCTGTCAGCACAGAGCCTGATGCGGGGCTCGAACTCACAAACCGTGAGATCATGACCTGAGCCAAAGTCGGACACTCAACTGACGGAGCCACCCAGGCACCCCAAAACATAAGAGACTCTTAAATGCAGAGAACAAACTAGGGTTGCTGTAGGGGTTGTGGGTGGGGGGATGGGCTAAATGGGTAAGGGGCATTAAGGAAGACACTTGCTGGGATGAGCACTGGGTGTTATATATAGGGGATGAATCATTGGAATCTACTTCTGAAATCATTATAGCACTGTATGCTAACTAACTTGGATATAAATTAAAAAGTAAATAAAAACAAAACAAAAACTCTTTAAAATAAATAAGAAACCTGTTTATATAAAAGAATCTGCAGGGGGGACTGTTTACTTAATTTGACTGCTTTGGAAACCTAGATCTTAAACATATCTTGGCCAGGTCTATATTACAGTGCTAATACCAGAGGGATTTATTTATGAAGCAACAAAAAGGTTTGTTGACATGAAGTTACTCTGTGGAATTAGAATGACATTATATAGTCTTCACATTTCTTTCAGCTTTCTCTATTAGAACATTTCTACTCTCAGCCCCTCAGTGTCCTATGCTGTAATCTCTCGGAAGCCAAGAGAAGAATAAATTTTTTATCAGAAAATCAATGTGAAAACATCCGACGTCTTCCATCATTTAGGAGGTAAAAAGAGAAGTGTATATTTAACACATAATAGAATTTCGAGTAAAAAAAAGTATCTCAGATCTAGCTATTTTTGAAGTGGGGAAAGAAAAAAATAACCATTTTATATAGAGCACAGTAAAACCTTTCTGTTTTCACTCGTGAGATTTCTTTGTTGGATTTGAAAACATACCATAACGAAAAATATTTTTACAAAAGGATATAATTTGCAGTTTCTCCAGAGTTACTTTTATAAAGAACATTTTCTGATTCTGGAGTTTATGGCTTTTGTTTATGATTAGATCCCTAGATTCTGAAGTATAGCTGCTTTGTGGAGTTAGAAATTACTATTAAACCATGACTATTATCTTGAATTTATTTTTGAGAAGAAATAAAAGAATGTGGCCACCAATCTAGGTAGTTCTTTTCCCCCATGTGATAGTCACATCTTTAGCATGTTTAATTTTCTCTCTTTGTGTACGGGATGGTGAAAATTTTAGGCACGTGGAAAAGCAAGCTTCAGAAAAGCAAGTTGAACTATTGACCAATGAGAGATTTTTGAAGGTAGGAATGTGGATGTATTTGTTTCAGTTTTACTTTTTTTTTCTTCATGAAAAACAATGTGCACATAAAATTTATTCATTGAATTTATAAAACATACCTGTCTGTCCTAATATGCTTTTCACAGTGAATTAATTGGTCTTGATGATCATATAGGAGTGTGACTATTGAAGATGACACAAAACTTTAATTCTCTAAAAGATGACCTTTTTTATTGAGACAAAATATTAACTACAGGTTTATCGTATGGTGTATTTCGAAAATACTTTTGAGATCTCAACTTTATTTCCATATTCCATTTTGGAATCTGCAGGCAATGTCATTTTAATGTTTTTTTAAAGGCTGTCATAAATAAAGGCACATAGAAGCCATGCAGTTTAGGGACCCACTGCTAAGTGGGTATTGATTTGATTTGAAAAAGATATCATTCTATATTGATACAATGCCAGGAAAGAAGTAATGAGCTTAGAAAATTGAGTGAACAATACAACACAGGGAATATCAAAAGGAAGATTTTTTTGGTTCTTTCTTGAATAAATGATACTCAGACATGGTACATAATTCAAAAGGCAAAGATAATATACAGTGAAAACACTCCCTCACACCTTTACCCTCCAACTACCTACTTTCTTTTCCTAGATACAATTAGTGTTACTAGTTTCTTATGTGTTTTCCTAGAAAGATTTTTCACATATACAAGGAATTTTACGTATTTTAGGAGTGTCCTTCTTTCTTTTACAGAATATAAATGAGTATATTATATATGCTGTTCTGCACCTGTTTTATTTTGCACTTAATGTTGAAAATCATTTCATATCAATACTGAGTGTGGTATAGTACTTTTGGGATGATGTACCTTCATTTTACATAGTAAGTCCCTTAATGATGGACAACTAGAAATGCATAGTGTCACATTTGTTTTCATACTTGTCATGCCTTTTTTAAGGAAAAAGTTGTCAGAAAATTGTAATAAAATTAAGATGAGATTGAAGTAGCCCTAGTACTAGTGTAAAGGTTTTGCTGGCCCAGACTGTTTTCAAATTTTGAGTGAAAGAATGCTAGTTCCTAGAGGGCGTGTGTTCTGTATAGCTCTGAATACTAATTTACCTTCTATTCATAAATGCTAAAAAGAGAATGGCTTTTTTATAATTGAGATATAATTGACATACAGTATAACAGTGGACAGTGGCTTTTTGTTGGGCATTATTTCTAATGCAGAATCCACACTGGGCCATAATATAAAATCACTTTAATCATCTCTGTAACCTTTTTAGAGCAGTATAAGAAGTTTTCACATCCTAATGCAGGTTGTTTTGGTAGAGGGAACTTTAAGAACTAGTGGAAAGGGATGTGTGCATGTTTACTGAGTTTTAAGATTAGATGGATTAGCTCTGCTGAGTCAGCTAGTTGCCAAGTGCATTTCCTGCTAGAGCATATTTTCAGAAGCCAGGAATAGATTTTTAAAGAGTACTTTTAACCATTGAAATGACAAAGGGAGAGAATCTCTAGGCTCATCTGTTGTAGAAATAGTCTGACATTTATCTCTGCTTCTCAGTAACATTTCATGTATTTTCTAAGCATTTATTTATCTGTTCTTGTTCTTATTGCACTTATCAGCCCCATTTGTTATTATCTTTGCTGTATTCATTTTAGGATTGCATATTTTGTTATTTAAAGGCTTATTTTCTTGAGACTTACATAGTGAGAAATAGGAAGGTACACAAAGATTTGTACCTTACCCTAAAAAAGTTATGTGCAGGCCACCTGCTAAATTCAAAGACCAAAAGAGGTCTGTGAGGGGCACCCAGGTGGCTCAGTTGGTCAAGTGTCTGACTCCTGATTTCGACTCAGGTCATGATTCATGGTGGACTGTGAGTTCAGGCCCCACATTGGGCTCTGTGCTGAGCATGGAGCCTGCTTAAGATTCTCTCCCTCTCCCTTTGCTCTTCTTGCACATGTGCTCTCTCTAAAAAAAAAAAAAAACAAGGTCTATGAAAAAGATTAATCAACATGTCTGTGGATTTTTGTAGTTTAGAGTAAAAGTATCTTTGTATATTGTATTCATTTATTTAAGCATTTATTATTCTTTTTCTCCTTTTATGGTTTTTTTAAACACATAATCAATTTTTATATGTATTTTACCACGATAAAAATTGGAAAAAAACCCCACATGATAATTAAAAGTATGGTACTTCGTGATACAGGGGAAGATCCTGATTATGACCTCAGCAAATTTCAACCTGCATTTCAACTCCAGCTACTTGTTAGCCAGGTATACCTTAGAAAAATCACTCATCCTATTTAAGCTTCAATTTCCTTATTTATAAAATGGGACAATAATTCCTAGTGTGATTTCCTCATACGGTTAGTGATACTCAAAGTCCATTCAGCAAATGAGAGTGATTTATGAACAAATATACAGTAAAACTTTTATAAATGTGAATCATGAATATTGTTATTACTTTTCTCTATGATAAAAATTAAGATCAATGTGAATGTGTAGTTTTGTATATTGCATATTCTGTATTATGCATACTAAATGTAATATTCTTGCATTACATGGTTGTATAGATTATGTAGTTATATAGACATGTGTACTGTTAGAATTTATCACACTCAGATTTTGAAGACATAGACCTCAAAGTATACTCCAGAGAAATTTATACTCTTTATATCTAGATTCTTTCGTCCCTGAATATCTACTTTGCTCCCTACCCTGATTAACTAAACCCAGTAGTTCTTAAACTTTAGTATGTATCAGAATCATGGGGAGGGCTTGTTAAAACACTGATTAATGGCCTCCATCCCCAGAATTTCTGCTTTTGTAGCTCAAATGTGGGTCCCAAGAATTTGCATTTCTAGCAAGGTCCCTGGTAATGCTGATGCCTTTGGTCTGAAGACCATTTTTGAGAACCACTTGAACTGGACTGGTTGCCTAGAAGGAAATGTTTATTGTTTCCCTTGCCATGTTCTCTTAAATTTAGAATTAATCTAAATTCTAACTTAAATGAAGGATTTATATGAATCATCCCCAGACTGGACTCAAGATGTTAAAAAAACCTTCAACTCCTTTAGAATTATGGACCCTCAGTTTCACAGATACAGCTTTAAAACTATATGTCAGCTTTGTATTTCATAAACTACATGGGTTTTTTCAAAGTATACTTTCAAATTTAAAAATTCAGCTGACTAAACCATATACATTTGTAGAAGTTTCACTGGGAAGTTCAAGCTAAGGCATGACATAGAGCTGATAAAGGATTAAAGATTATGTGCATTCTTTCATTTCTGAGTAGTCTGTCCTGTGAATGTATTGTGCAGCAGAGTACAGAGGCCAAAAAGTGCACTCTGACAGTTAACAATCTAGTCTTCCTATGCTTAAGCAGAATAGGCCTGCACAAGCTCCCATTAATGCAAACTTCTGATGACTCAAGAGCTTTCAAATCCTGTGGTAGAGAAGTGTAACCAGATAATCTTTTTTCTTTTTTATTAATGTTGTTTATTTTTGAGAGAGAGATCGAGCAGGGGAGGGACATATAGGGAGGGGGACAGAGGATCCAAAGCAGGCTCCACGCTGACAGCAGAGAGCCTGACACAGGGCTTGAACCCGTGAATGGCAATATCATGACCTGAGCTGAAGTCAGACACTTATCTAACTGAGCCACCCAGGCGCTCCTATCCAGATAATCTTTAAAGTTTCTTTTGGCTCTAAAATGCTGTGATTTTATTTACTTGTTCATTAAACAGATTGGTTTTTTTTTTTTGTTTTTTTTTTTTTTTTGCTGACTAGTTAATTTATTTAGATTCCTCATTAAAATTTTATTTTAGTACATCTGTTTAATTGGAGATAGGTAAATTATTACTGTGGGTTTTAGGTGAAATAGCAAGAGCTGTTACTGTTTATATTTTTACCATGTTTTGCCTCATACCATTGCTTTAGTAATCAAGGTTTCTGGTTTTTTTTTAACTTAACCCTTTAATTCATGAAACATTATTTCATGAGAAGCTGTCAAAGTGCCTTATATAGAACTTTCAAATTCTTCATAATTGCAAAGATGATTTTTATTATTGCTTGTCCCTGAAATTTTGTTTCAAGTCCAATATTAAGGAGAGCTTTGAAAAAGATTGTTACCTCGTATTTGCATAATTATTATCTGATAATAAAAAACACTAGGCCTTAATATACTGGAAGGAATTTTTGAATAGTGAGAAATTCTTTTTCTTTCCATGAGCAAATGTTTCGGAGGAATGGAATATTAACAGCTTTTCCCAATTAGTAGATAGTTTTTATGCATTGTCTCATTTTGAGTCACAGCCACCACATACGACAGATGTTTTTATCCCTTTGTATAGATGAGGAGAGTCACAAAATGATTAAATAACTTTGCCTATCTAAAGTGTCACAATTAGCAAATGGTACATCTGGCATTAATACCCAGATCTGACATCATAGCCCATACATTTTCTGTGACGCTTCATTGAAGAATTAGTATAGGGTGATGAGAAGGTGCCTAAGGTTCTGTATTAGTGTTTGAGAAATCAGAAATGAGCTTTCCAAATACTGTGGCAAGTTAACAGTGAAGATAATTTGTAGGAGGCTTAGAAAACTACTTGGTATGAGGTAGCTTTGGCCAGGTGTCATGGAGCACTACATGCTGCTGCTCAAATTAGAAAAGGAAACATTCACACACACATATACACACTTTATTTTCAAAATACCTTGTAAAAAAAGCAAGTCTCAACACCATATCTAAGATTAGGCCCATTTTAATCCTGTGCTGACTACACCAACCACACCGTCTCTATTACCGGTAATGGCTGTTCATGTTGATCTGTCTTGTCAAGAAGTTACATTATACTTAGTATATTTAATAAATGACTAATTCCATGTACTTCACATAAGAAAATCTGTTTATATATTTTTATTCAAATCTTCCTTAAAGCTATTTGGCTTGGTTTCAAACCCCTTTCAACTTAGATTCAATCTCTTGCGGGTGACAGGTGAAGTTTTTTATTCTGACTTGTTAATATTTTATGTCTCTATTCCCTCTGTACCCAGCAAGATTTTAAATCGGTTGAGAGTAGGAAGTAAGTCTTGGACTTGTTAGAATTGTAATTTGTTAGTATTAGAAAGATAACCTGATTGAATATGCTCATTTTACAAATGAAGAAATGTAGCCAAGAGAGAGGAAGTGAAATATCTAAGGTCGCAGAGCAAGTTAGTGGTAGATTTTTTTTCACCATTTAGTATGCTTTTCATGGTGATTCGTGAACAAAAGGCACAGAATTACTTCATGAGTTTGGTGGTAACCTGCCTTTCACCTACTTTTGCCTCCACCTCTTCTTTCTATTTCTTTTGACAGACAGGGCAGGAGGAGGGGGGAAATCTATTAGGAGAAATAATTAAAAGAAAAGAGAGGAAAGGAAGAAAATGACTGGAAACAAACTACTACATGTGATCAAACAAGCGAGGCTTTAGCACAATAGTGCAGCGGGAACGGGCAGCTTCAGTGCAAACCTTTCATCAAGTGCTGCTGGTCTGAAGTGCCCAGTGGGAACACAGAGAACAAAAGGCTGAGGCAGATGAGAGGAGAAGCACACAGGCCACACTAGTGCTGGGAGAAAGCCATGCTTTGGTACTCCAGGAGCTGGCTGTCATGTGATGAGACACTGAGAACCAAACACTGTTGGTCAAAATTTCTCCATAATGAGAAAAATCATGCTTCGTTCTAGCAAGATGATAACTAAGAAAATGCTGTGTTCTTGGACAGCAGATACCTCTTATTCCTAAAATCCAGTGTCTGTTTCACCAGCTTTTGTTATCAGTGAATTTATTGAAAGGAACATATTATAAAAACTTACAGCCATTTTTACATAGCTTACTTTAAATCTTCCTGGTGTCACTCTTCACCCCATAACATTCTGGACACAAAAGGAATAAGTACTATGGAAAGTAGAAGAGAATTGCAAAAACTAAGCATCATGGCAAATATAATTCTGTCTGATCATATTTTCTTTACCTATATATATTTAAATTTTACATAGGTATTGGTTTCCTTTCCAAAGAAAGTAACCAGCTCAGTAAAAATAGGGGCCTTGTCATGTAAGTAGACAAGAATACATGAATGATTTTGACTGAATGACAGACAAGATTGATGTGATTGGAGATGGCTGATTTAAAAGGGTATACTATATATTTACTGGCCACCCACAGCCTAATATAAATGTGGCTTTTTAGGTCCGTAGTGGTTTCTTTGTTTTTTTTACCCTGAGTCAACATTTACAAATTGAGACATTTTACATTACACATTCAGACTTCCATCTTTTGTTGAAAAATTAGTAAATCTGGCCCACATCCAGCAAGACAACAAGTGGTTGCTCTTATTTAGAAGGGAGACTGAGTGCATGTTGGCCTCCGTTCATTAATGCACTTCCTCATTCGACAAAGTTTGTGAGGGTCCACTGTGTGCCAGGTGTTAATCTAGGTGCTGAGAATATAGGAATGAACAAAACTGACAAAAACCTCTGCCTTCATGGGGCTTACATGCTATCAAAAGAAGTAGGTAAAATGTCTGTGTTGCTAAGGAAAAACAATGAAGGAAAAAAGCAGAATGTGAAAGTTGGTGTGCATGGGGAGTTGGATTGACATTTTAAATAAGGACCTTACTGAGAAGGTGAATTTTGAATAAAGACTAAAGGAAGTTACAAAGCTTGCCATGCAGGAATCTGGCAGAAGGGAATTCCAAACAGCAGCAAGACAGCAAGTGGAAAGGACCTGAGGTTGGAGCCTGTCTTGATGTTTGAAGAGGAGCAAGGAGGCTGCTCTTTTGTATTTGATATCAGAGAAATATCTTTGTTTGCGTCTCTTTATATCAAAGATCAGAAAAGACCACAAGGTCTTCATGTGTCAAGAAAAGAAGAAAGCATATCTCTTTGGGAAATAATGAATATTACTAGGCAAAGTGTATCTCTGTTAAAAAGAATCATCCTAACCACAGTTATGAAATAAAACAGTGGCAGACATGGCCAGCGTATGGCTGTGATTCCAGAGGAAAAATTTAACGAATGGAAAACAAGATTACTATTTGAACAGGCTTTGTTTTCACATGTACATAGTGTGATGCTGCTGTAAGCATTAAGTGGAGAATTTTCTCAGCATCAAAACCTATAAAAAGGTGTTCATAAAGTGCATTAAGAATTGGCCTGGAGAGAAGCATTTACAGATACGAATCTCAGTAAGACAAAGGATTTAGAGAATAGTATCATGTAGAAAGTTAATCATTTGGATGTTTTCTGCTGCAGCTGATAAGAACACAGATGTAAATAACAATGGAATCTTATGTAGAGAGTAGTTCCAGAGTCAATACATAAGGCAAAAGTGTGGGATGGTCAAAATAACTTAACTCTTGAAAATCCCTTAGAAGGGTATAGCAGATTTCTCATGAAGTCCAGCATAGCTAGTTTTACTTCCAGTGTTGGAACCAGAACTCCATTTCCTCAATTGGGCATTGGTTGAAATAGTATGCTGTGTTATGTGAACAAAACAAAACATGTTTTAAATGCTAGAATTCCACTGGGAACAGGGATGTAATCATGCAGAGGTAGGAAGGGACTGAGATCATCTGGGAGAAGAGCATGTGCATAATCCTCCTTCCACCCCTACCCAAGGCATAGTCCCTCGACTGTGCAACATTGCCCACAAGGTGTAAAGTATTTCAGTTTCCTCCCCCTCTGAGTAAATTCACTTCTGCATCACCCATTATTTGTACATGCACAAAAGCATGTACTCCACTAAGCAAAAGGAATAGGTAGTGCAAGAAGCATGAAGTATGGTTATTAATCAGTAATAGATTCCTTTCCCTCCAGAATACTTTTCTTTGTTTAAAAGCTCTTCAGGCATACATTAAGGCAAATAATTAGTGGCTTTATGCACTCTCCATGTTACAGCATATAGTAAAATTAGAGCTGAATGTACTCTCCCAGTGGTGGTTAAAGTACCCTTTGTTAGGATAGGAGACCTAGATTTTTGAAATTACCAACTAACTCAAATACTGGGAGGAAAAACATTTTGATTCTGAAAGCTTTTTCATTTGCCCTGTGCTTTCAGGTAATAATCTATAGATTGATGATGAAGGAATTGATTTCTAAGTGCATTAGAGTTTAGGAAAATATATCAGATTTGTTGCTTTTTATAGGTTAGGTTTGCTTGAATTTATTCGTATCTGAGGTGTTATTTTCTGCAGGCTTGACTGCTAAAAATAATGGGTATCTGCAAGATATTACTGGTGGAAAAAAACCCCAGCCCAGCAGTTAAAGTCCTTTTTTGACTTACAGAGAAGAAAAAAATGTGAAGACCATGCCACAGATCATAATCCTTTTAAGAGAATGTTACAGGATGAAGCAGTTATAAAAGTATTTGAGGTCTGAAAAATACTTGGATGTTGATAGAATGTAGTGTGTTAAAATCATTTCTAAACTGTTTCAGAAGGTTCTAGAAAACATAATACCCCTCCCATTCCCCCCCGCAAAAAAGCCCTTTTGAAACTGATTTGTGGGATTAGTCATCCCACAAGTTTCTTAAGACACTATCTCCCATATTATACTTGTTGGAGTCTAAATTCTAAAGCTTGATGGCTTTAGATTTCTCTTTTCATTTTTTTTTTAATTAGTAAAATGAATAAAAACCAGTGTTAGAAATTCTCAACAAAAAGCAGGCATTTATCAGAATCACCCGTGGTGTTTCTTCTATAGTCTTTCTTTGAAACACAGTTCTAATTGTACTTTAAGAGAAGCATAGGCCTTAAGTGTAACCTCAGCAACTGTTAATGATGTTGGTATTGGGCTCCGTAGTGATCTTCTTACCCTTCTGATGCCAGCAAGGTAGAGGGTGGTAGGCCTACCTCGCTGTGGCACATACTGGGTGACTGACACAAGCAGGCATCCAGCAGGGTGCTTTTTTGCACACTTGGGGGGAGCCAAGTTATAATGGCAGTGCTATAGATAGAAGGAAACTACAGGACTAATTTTGGTGTGTGTAAAATATCACCAGACCTGATACTAAATCAGAAATACCCAGCCTTTATCCTAGATTTTGTGTGCGTTACTAATTCTCAAAATTAACGAAATTAATTTGTAATTCTGCATCTTTTCTCATCAGTTTTCCAGGAATTTTATATATATATATACACACATATATATATATATATATATATATTCGTGAGGTAGATTTTATTATTCTTTTAATTACTGACTTACATATTTGTAATGTATTCTGTGATTTTTAGGAGGAAATACAATCATTACTAGAAAACTTACATGTTTACCATACAAATTACTTCCTGGTTTTGAGATGTCTTCATCAGTTCACCTCTTCTCTTCCCAAGTACCCATTGGGTCGACAGGTAACCAGAACTTCTTCATTTGGAATGTCTGCAGTAGGAATATCAGTAGTTTCTTGCTTTGATTTCAGCAGCATTCAGGCATCAGAATTTGAAATGGATCCAAATCAGGCACTGAGTGCACAATCTAAATCCATTCCAGCTGTACACATTACTGGTAATTGAAGCAGTATATTTTGTTCTGATGGCCACGGCTAGAAACAACCACATAAATCCCAGTGGTGTTGCTTCCCCCCTCCTCCCCCGCCCCCCAATGTATTTGTCCTAAGGCATTTTAACTTCTTTCTTTCACACTTCTTTGTCATGTATACTGAGAGAGTTGATCCCCCCACTTTATTAAAATAGCAAAAAGAATCTGTTTGAGAATGCTGAATGGTTAACCTTGCATTCCACCAAGAACTAAAAGGGAAACAGCATTTCTGCCCTTGCAAAATTATGCCCCACTGGCCTTTGTGTCATACTCTAAACCTGTGAACCAGCTAGAGAGTGGATGTTAGTGGAATAATTCTGTATTCCTAAATATTTGCATCCTGCCTCAAAGGGGAACCGGGGTACTGGTTAGAGAACAGGGGTACCGCGTGGGTCAGTGGGTTAAGCGTCCCACTCTTGATTTCGGCTCAGGTCATGATCCCAGAGTTGTGGGATCGAGCCCCGTGTTGGGGTGTTGGGGTCCAGGCTGAGTGTAGAGCCTGCTTGGAATTCTCTCCCCCCCGCCGCTCCTCTCCCCCACGCTCATGTTCTCTCTCTCTCTCTCTCTCTCTCTCTCTCTCTCTCTCTCTCTCTAATAAGTAAATAAATAAAGGTTTAGAGAACAAATCTAAATACATAGGAATGATTTGTTTATGAAAGGATTTCTGCCATTAAGCTTTCTTTTTAATAATCCCATATTGCTTTTATTTTATTATTTTCTTATTGCAGTGTGATCAGTATTATCAGCCAGTCCCAATGTAGTCTCATGTTGCTTTTATGTAAATGGTATTCTTATATAGCCTGACCTATGTGATGTGTGCCCAGTCTGTTGTCCTCTAAAGAAAATGATTGTTTTTAATAATATTTATTTTTTTGTCTTGACCATTTATGATTTTGTCAAATGAGCAGTGTGTAACTTAGTACATCACTTTTGGTTCCTTACAAGTGTGCTTTTTACTTACAGATCAGAGAGCTGTACTGTACTTGTTTAGAAAAGAACATATGGGATTCAGAGGAGTATGCATCAGCTTTGCAGCTGCTGAGGTAGTTTTGTTTTTTTTTTCTGTTTTGTCTGATGTAAGCCTGTCAATAAATAACCCTTTCCTCCAGAATGTTGCCTGCCAAGGGGTTTTTAAGTAGCCATGCTGTGTCTAATATTTGTAAATACCTTGAACTTGTTTGTGGTTTGTGGTGGTTTTAATGTAGCAACCATCCATTTCTTTGCTGGTTTTACCTTGTTTTTGAACTTGTGATTTTTTTTTTTCCTAGAGAGAGATTGTGAGTGGGGGAGAGGGGCAGAGGGAGAGAGAGAATCTCGAATAGGCTCAATGCTCAGCCTGAAGCCTGACATGGGTTTCGATCCCACAACCCTGGGATCATGCCTGAGCTGAAATCAAGAGTCAGTACTTCAACTGACAGAACTACCCAGGTGTCCCGAACTTGTGCTTTTTAAAGTAAAATGAGCATTTAGTCAAATATTGACACTACCTGAAGAGGGCTTAGGTATGGATAATTTTAATCTTGCCAGCTTGATGGCATGGCAGGGAAAGTAATCATGGAAAGTGATCTCACCATGGCCCCAACCAGGATGGGTGGAGTTGCAGCATCACTTGGTGAAATGTGAAAGAGGTCACTGCTGAACTTGAGGACCAGCGATGAGGAGGCAGTAGCCTTGATGCCTTACCCCCATCTGAGCTGGCCATGCTCTCATTAGCACGGGAGATCATAAATTTATCTAATATTATATAAATAAGACATCTTGGTGTTGTCACATATTAGAGATCACTTACCACCCTGACAAATTTACCTTTTAAAGTTATAATCATTTGTTTTTCTTGGCTTCACTCATACATACGTTGACTTTTTAGTCTTCCATAAAAATAATGACCACTTGGAAAATGAGGAAAGGAAAATCAAGTGTGAGTTAAGTTTCTGCACACACACTTACAATTTTCCTCAGTGAATATAAATGCTTATATGAAAATATCATAAAGAAGTCTGAGAATTGAATATTTATTAAGTCTTGGCTTCCTCTGGGCCCACAAGAAAAGAACAGATGGGCCTAGTAGGAGGAAAATTCATATTGAAAGCACTTTAGGTCCAGAGACTTAATAATACAAATGTCAGTGATCTAGCAGGTGCAGCTTAAGATAGGAAACTAATTTTATGCTATCTGGAAAAATAACTCCCCATGGAAACTAGATTGCCACTGAAAAGCTCTGTTTTATTTCAGTTTTTTAAATGCCAGTAAGAGATTTCTGTGTACTTCTATATGTCAACCGAGACTTCATTTGCTTTCTATTCAAGTCAACATTCCTGCCTCAACACCTAGTTGATTCTTGCTGAGTTTCCTCTTTAATTTTTGTGATTAGTGATTGTCTTCCTTTTCCAGTTGAATAGTCTTAAATTCATAGATTCCTTTGTCAGAGAGGGGCTTGCTTTTTTCTTTCTACATCTTTTTGGCATCAGTAATCTTGAGGTACAAGTCAAAGGTCAAGAATGCCAATTCCAAACTAGGTTAAGGAAACATGAGCAATAATAGTAATGGTGACAGTCGTAACCACTGTTTATAAAAGCTTGCAGTGTGTCAGGCACTGTGTTAGGTAGGCACTTTCAGTAAACTTTCCTGTCTAATACACAAGTACACCTTTGTGGCAGATACTATTATCCACACTTTACAACTCAGAATACTGAAGCATATATAGGAATTAGAATTTGCCTGAAATCTCTTAGCTGTTGATGGAACCAGAATTCTAATCCAGATCTGATTTCACAGCTGTTGTACCTTCCACTATTCTTGCTAAGATCTAAAGTATGGGCTTGGGGATCTGAGTAAAGCAGAAGCAATAAATAGAAAGTGAAGTTTCAGTCATTTTGCTAAACTGAGGTCAGACACATAGGAATATAAAAAGCATTAAGGATAAAATATGTCAGGTACAGCAAAGACAGGTTAGAGTCTGGGCACTACCAAGAATCTGGGAATGTCCAGAATGGATTTCTTTTCCTTTTGTGCAGATTAGATGTGGAAAAGAAGTCAAGGACACTTGTCAGTTTAGGCATTCTAAGTAGGAATCATCTGAATTTAGGAAACCAGATATTCCCATCACCTGTCTTCAAACAAGTCACATCATGAGAGAAAATAAGATTAAAATGATCACTGAATGTCACTTGGGAAAAAAAACTGAGGTACTGTAGAAACATAGTCTAGAAACATTTCCAGTTTGACTTTTTTTGTTAAGTTCCTTAAAGGCAGTATTTCTCTTGAAAAATCCCTTTTATATGGAAACTGACATGTTTAAATAATCATAAATCAACTTGATGGAATATTTTGTGATCATTGAAAAGTATTTAATTCCTGATATTTGTATGGAACCACAAAAGAATAGCTAAAATAATCTTGAGAAAGAACACAGGTGGGAGGCATCGTTCTTCTTGATTTCAAGCTATATTACAAAGCTAAAATCAGTAATCAAAACAGTATGGTGTTGACATAAAAAAAGACACATAGATGAATGAAACAGAATAGAGAGCCCAGACATAAATTCTTACATATATAGACAATTTATGACAGAGGAGGCAAGAACAGATAATAGAGAAAGGACAGTCTCTTTAATAAATGGTGCTGGGAAAACTGGACCACTTTCTTAACACCAGTCACAAAAATCAACTCAAAATGGATTAAAGATTTGAAAATAGACTTGAAACCACAAAAGTAGAAGAAAACATAAGTGAACCTCCTTGATATTGGTCTTGGCAATGATATTTTGGCTTTGATACCAAAAGCAAAAATAAACAGGTGGGACTACATCAAACCAAAAAGCTTCTAAACAGTAAAGGAGAAACCATCAATAAAATGAAAAGGCAACCTATTAAATGGGAGAAAATATTAGGAAATCATACATCTGATAAGGGTTTAATATCCAAAATATATAAAGAACTCCTACAACTCAATAGAAAAAACAAACAATTGATTAAAAAATGGGCAGAGGAGCTAAACAGACATTTTCCCAAAGAAGACATACAGATGGCCAATAAGTGCATGAAAAGATGCTTAACATGACTAGTCATCAGAGAAATGCAAATCAAAACCTTAATGAGATATGTCCTCACACCTGTTAGGAGGCTCTTATCAAAAAGTCAAGAAATAACAAGTGGTGGTGAGGAATACTTGTGCCCTATTGGTGGAGATATAAATTGGTGCAGTCATTATGGAAAACAGTGTGGAGATTCTTCAAAAAATTAAAAATAGAACTACCATTTGACCTAGCAATTCAATTTCTGGGTGTTTATCTGAAGGAAATGAAAATGCCAACTCAAGATACCAGTGTTCCCATGTTTATTGCAGCTATTCACAATAGACAAGACATGGAAACAAGCCAAGTGCCCATCAATCAAGGAATGGATAAAGAAAAATGCACATATACACACACAGTGGAATATTATTCAGCCATAAGAATTAGGAAGTCCCTCTATAACACTGAACTCAGATACCGAGAACAGATTGGTAGTTGCCAGTGGTGGGGAGGTGGGCAAAATGACTGAAGGTGGTCAAAGAGTACAAATTCCAGTTATAAAATAAAGAAGCCCTGGGGATGTAATTTATAGTATGGTGATATGTAGTATTGCATATTTGAAAGTTCCTGATAGAGTAAATCTTAAAAGTTCTCATCACAAGAAAGAAAATTTATAATTATGTGCAGTGGTGTATGTTAACTAGACTTCTTACGGTGATCATTTCACAGTATATACACATACCAAATCATGTACACGTGAAACTAATATGTCATTTGCTAATTATCTCAGTTTTAAAGTGTATTTACGTGGTATTTGTAATGTTGAAAATATCATATATTCATGAGTGGAAAAAGACTTACAGAATTGTATATCACAGTTATTTTTAAAATGTATGCAGCAGACATTGATGTACACGTGGGGAGCACGCAGTTATGCCTTTCTAAAAGGCCATAATTTGACATGAGTGCAGTGGTTCTGCATGTCTTCCATAGCCTTTCTTCTTTCAGTCAACTCTTGAGCATGAAGACCACATCCCTATGCAGGATATGAGGTGGTTAATTTTTTACCAAGCATGTATTATTATATAAGGATATATTTAACTTAAGACACCATTTGGGAACCAGAAGTAGTAAAAATGGTGCTAACCCAGCAGTGAGCTACGTGAGTACACTGGGCTTCTTGTGGTCAGCTCTGAAAGACCTTAAGAGGAAAAATTTACCTTTCTATTAGAATTTCTAAACAGCCATCTAGAAGTCAAACACTTGACCAAGCATTTTTCAGACTTTTGAAATTCAAAAAAACCTTGCTTCAATAGTAAGGTTTTAAGGGTATTGATAAAATACCCTTAGAGTTTTAACTTACAGGAACATGATGGATCAGCTAGACCTGTAAAGTACTGTGATTTCACATCAGTAGCCATGGAGTGCTATGCAATGATTCTTGGATTGAGAGTAATGAGAAATGTGTCTGTCTTCTTAGGGGAATTTATTCTGCCCCTTGCCCCATCAATTGAGAATTACTTATCTAGGATTATCTCATTTTCTTCCAAATAAGGAAACCAAAGCTGGAAACACTGAGTGACTTTTATGCAGTTGACACAGCTGGAATTTAAATTTGAATCTTCAAAGTTAAGTCTGTTTTTCAGCCCTATTCCAATTATTTGGGAGGTAGTATAAAAGGTAATTTCTGTGGGTTTGTGGCCAGCAGTCCATGTTCAGAGCACACCTCAAATGTTAAAACGAACCAGCCAAACAAGCTTCTGTGGCCTCAAAACCCCCTTCCCATCCTGACACTAGGCATCTTGGCGCAGAGTATAGACATATAAATGAAAGAAGCCACAGTGTCTGGTCTGCTTATCCAAAGTATAACCTTATGAGTTTGCTGGACAAACAGATTTATAAATTGAAGTTGATTGATAGCTACAGGAATTTAGGCTGAAAGAAATTACTCTAATTTCTGAGTAAGGCTTTTGAGTTAAACAGTAATATATTAATAGGTCAGCTCAGCTTTCACTGAGTTAAAAAAAAACA